CATAAGCCATAATTTATATTAATTACAAGCGAGTTATACAATATATATTGTTAAGTTGTGAACGATGTCACCCTCCCCCTTTTCGTCGCAGAAGAATTGTTTACACCAATTAAGAGTCCTTAAACTGTAAAATGTATAAGTTTCGACCTAAATTTTGCGTTTGTGTTACTTATAATTAAAGCAAAGCAATTGCTTGGTTTCATTGAATTGAAATGTTTTATGATTTGAAGATAGATCTTACTTTACATTTTGTCAGTGGAGGACAGCGAGGCATAGAAGATGGATGCAAACTTCCATAAATATACAAAAATTAGAAATGATGATAGATATAAAACAAGGAGATATTGTATGATTGTCAATGAGACAATTATCTGTACGAGTTCAAAGGAGTGGGTGTAAGCAATTATAGGCAACTGTACAGCCTTCAACAATGAGAAAAAACTCATACTGTATATAGAGAATATTTCCGAACCATCAAGGAAATATTTTTTTGTGTTAAGTTGAAATTCAAACAATGATAAAATTGAGAATGGAAATGGGGAATGTGTCAAAGAGACAACAACCCGACCATAGAGCAGACAACAATGGGTCTTCATTGCAGCGAGAAACTCCCGCACCCGGAGGCGTCCTTCAGCTGGCCCCTAACCAAATATGTATACTAGTTCAGTGATAATGGACGTCATACTAAACTCCAAATTATACACAAGAAACTAAAATTAAAAATGATACAAGACTAACAAAGGCCAGAGGCTCCTGACTTGGGACAGGCGCAAAAATGCGGCGGGGTTAAACATGTTTTTGAGATCTCAACCCTCCCCCTATACCTTTAGCCAATGTAGAAAAACAAACGTACAATAGAACGCACAGTAAAACTCAGTTTAAGAGAAGTCCGAGTCCGATGTCAGAATAGGAAACAAAAGAAAATAAACAAAATGACAATAATACATAAAAAAACAACAGACTGCTAGCAGTTATTTCCCGCGACAACCATATTTAAAGATATCACCTTGTTATGGGTCTTCCGCTATTAATTACGTCAGTGTTTATCGTGTAAAACTATGTTGATTGTCAAAGCTAGTGTTCAACATAAAATATACAAACTTATAACTAAAAAAACCAAAACCCTATACAGTTTTTGGATGTCATAGTCTTCATATTTGATAATGGCCATTTATTTTAAAGAGTTTACACCATATAACAAAATAAATGAAATCACTATATCAAATGTTAAAAAAGCTTTTGATAAAATATAATGGAATGTTCATGTGCTTGTCTGAGGTAAGGCACCTCGTAGATAGTTGTAACAAGTTTGTGGTTTCTGTCATTTGAATAATTTGATGTTGATGACATTTCTTTAATAATATCTGTTAAATTTACATTTGGCGGACACGGAAAATATGTTTTACTTTTAACAAAATTATGATCCAAGGGAAAATAAGACTGATAAAGGAAGTTCATTATTATCTTCTTAAATGAACAATACTTAGCCATCCCATTTTTTCTTTAACACATTTTGTAAGAACGTCAGAAATCGTTGACAATTACGAAGTCGTCAAAAAATACTCTTGATGACTACTTCAAAGCATATGAAAACGATAGGAAACTTTTTATACTTTTGTTGTTTATAATATTAAGATATATGTAACGAGGGTGGAATTCCAAATTTTACTTTCTGTAAAACTAAAAAAAAAAATCGCCAGTTATAATTTTTTTTTATATTTCAGTTGATTGTTGAAACAAACTATTCGATATTGTATTTCAATGTTTCAATATCTTGTGGGTATTGTCACATATTTAAGAACCAAGGAAGGTACTTTAAAATTAAGCAAATATCAATTGAACATCTTTACAAATCAAATAATCGGAATACACAACAAAGATTATGAATTTCGTCTTCTTCTTACACTACATGTCCATAAAACGTATTCAACACAGTTTTGACATTCGTTAACACCACTGCACATTGACTACAATTAGTGTTATATAAATATTATTTATGTTATAATGGGTAACAAGTATTTGATGTACTAGATCGATTCATAAACATGTGAAGATAACAAGACGAAAAAAGAAAAACTGACTATCAGAAATACAATAGACAAATTACAAGCCGGACACAGAAAACTAAAGATTGAACAAACACAAACCCCTTGAATAATTTGGATTTACTCATGATCAGATGTTCCAGATTGGAATGCAGTTCTTGCTTTTCTGGTGGTTTGTGTTTAGTTCCTCAAAGCAAGTTAAAATCATATGATTAATTCAGGCATGTTACAAACAAGGAGAAGAAGTCGGTATTGTGTTTACGTTAATAGCAATGTAATTGCTTTCTATAACTCACACTTTAGATGAGAGGCTTTTGATTTTACCATTTAGAACCATTTTTTCAATGACTGCAATAAAAGCAGCAACCCTCTTCTTCATCAGTTCCTTAGAGAAGTTTTTTATTTAGGTGCAATTTATTTTATACATACAGTGTTAAGACCCACTGATAGAAAAGCACAAACTGTTGATGGATCGCTAAAATAAAGATAGTTTTGTTAATTCAATGTTGCTCTCAGGAGGAAACTTCACTTTCCTAGATTAAAACAAAAAATAGCGCAAACTATTATTGTTTGCTGAAATAACTGTTTAGAGACAGAAATTTAATAATAAGATATTTGCTCGTTTCCCGCTCTTTTTTCAACCCAAGGAGAACGAAAAAGTCAATCTGAATTGTGTATGCATTTATGAATATCCTCAACACAGATGTCAATGGATATGTTCCATCATAGAACTGCAATCCCGTATTTTTCCTCGATTGTAACATGTGATTTTACACGATGGAAAGAAAAAGCTTACTCTACCGGACCAGACTGAGTTCACTCCTCCGGTTTAAGTGAGATTTGTTTTGGTCATGCGCTATTAGTTTTCTGTGTAGTGTTTAAAGTACTGTAGTATATATTTTGGTTCTTTGTCTTTAAACTATGATTTTGTCTTTTTCAGCGGTGTACAGATTGATTGCGTCAATAGTATCATTTTGACCTTTTACCGATAGAAACAATACTGACAATTACAAATAAGATCAGCATGATCAGGTTATATATTTACATATAGTTTTTTACTGCATGTAATTACCAAGGTCGACAACGTTGCATTCGTCAAATGGTGAGACAAATATGTCATTTTGGAAGTTATTCATTGAATTTTGAGTACAGCTATCATATTAGTAGTCTTCTTATTATACTGTTTAACATTCTTGAATGTATTGTTTTATTTTACATATTTTTATTTCACATAAATCGTCAATATTTTAAAACGGTAGTCAAATCTAAATAGTATAAAAAGCGTAGGACAAAATGACCAATTGTGAATCATCGTGAAAGATAATGTATCTGCCATATATGTATCATGATTAAAGCTAGGAAGAATTTCACACATTAAAAAAAAATGTATGTTAAAAAATAGCACGCAGCTTTAGAGTTTTTAAATTGTTTTGTTTAACTGTACATGTTATTTTAACATGAAAGAAAGCAGATAAAACTTTACTTTGATAATTTAATAAATTATATTTCCAATCCATTTTGAAGTTTTGTAGTTTTTATCATTATTTTTATATTTCTTTGTTTATATAGACAAATAGGACATATCTTTTGAACAAGTGTTTGTGATGTTGTGTTTTCGTTTTTTTTATCTTGACTTTTGCATTTAAAATACACAAGTGATATTGGCAAATTAAGTCATTCCCGATGTAAGATTTCTAAAGTTGTTTTGACATTTTACCATATTCACTGAAAGGCTACAAATAACCCCTGAAAGTACAGCATTAATAATGTGTCTAGTACCACGCTGATAAAACTGTTTGTTTGTTTAAATCTGCATATATTTATAAAATCTGCATGCAAGCTTACAATTTTGAAATGGCGAACTTTGAATTCGGACCTTTATTATTTATTCAACGGTCTTTTATAATAGATTTTTATTATAATAGTCTCAGCTATCCTGCATGAGGCAAAATTATAAATATTTACCGAGTACCATGTAGCTTTTTCATGAACAGGTAGGACTAGTAGACAGTATAAATAAATTTGCGTGGTCATATGCGGCTAAATTGCTAGATTGGTATCGTTTCATGTGTTTATTAACGTAAATGTGTATCATTTTCATCACATACATTGCTCCTTTTATCTATCTTTATTACTGGGTCCGTATATTGTATATTGGGCAGGGACAGCGGGACGGTAATAACATTCTATTGGTCGCCATGAATTCACATTTTGTTCAATGAAATTGCCTTAAACTTACCAGAATAAAGTAATCATTCAATTTTTCATGAATGTCAGAACAGTGGAAGCATATGGAATTGTTGTTAAGCCACATGCCACGAAATGGACATAGCTGCCATCTACCTTTGATCACGCCTATCTTCTTATTTGGATTGGAGATATCAGCCCGGTCAATAAAAATTTTCGAAAAATTTCTAAAAATAAAATTTTTGAAAAAAATAATAAAATAATAACTTTAATGTAAAAGTCCCCAAAAATGTTTTTTCTTCTCCAAAATTCCAAACTATAAAGAAAAATTAAAAAGTTATACTTGACAATACGCAGCAACATCGGTGGTCACATATGGGATGTGGAAGTTTTTCATAAGTATTTTTCAAATCTACACCCATGTATACGAATGAGTAAAGAAACGCTTCATAAAAATAAATTCGTTATCTTGGGGTAGTAAGGGGTGTACGGCATTTTACACCGGTTTAAAAAATGCATACACCCTTCGGTTGCGCTTCAGGATGTATGCATTTTCGACATCGGTGTAAAATTCTGCACACCCGTGATTAAACCAAAATTACTAATAATGTGGCTCTCGAAATCGTGACTAGTAAAATATATGATATTTGTATTTACTGAAGGCAGCGCAATACTAAATATGAACTTCCATTCATTGACCACACTTATCACAACAAAGAAAATCAGAATATACTTAGATAACGGCATTGATAAAGGAAAAACACATCATTGAGAAAATATGTTCATTTTTAATGATTTCATTTTGTACACACTACACAAAGAACATCTGCTTCATTGGTATACGGAGGACATCTTAAACTGCCACATTTGGTTCGAAGAGGATAAAACAAAGCTCCGTTTTCATTTCCTTTCTTATTGTCTAACGGTTCTGCATTGATGTCCACACATGCGTAGTCCTTTTTATTATGTCCTGTATGATCACTCATAAGATATCCATGGTATTCTGATGTCCATCCTTTATAGCAAGTCTTCCGACCTAGAATATTATAAATTTTGAAAAAAAGACAAAACTATATACAAAACACAAACACAACATATAAAACTAAAGACTGAGCATCACGAAGTGTTTCACATTTAATTCTTTACTGTTATGTCAACCATATATCATAAAAGTCTGTTAAGGGCAATGTCAGAATATTCTGTTGTTATTACATTACAGTTACTTCAAATACATTGTTTTTGAGACAACGTTATTTGAATTGCAGTTATTTCTCATGACCCCAATATTTGAAAGGAAACTTGCTGATTTTCTTTTGACTAGAAAAATTAAAACAAATGAAATAGGAAAGTCCGATTAAAGATCATTAATAGATCGTAGGGATCATTAAACAAATTTTAATCAAATGAATGTTACTCAGAAAACAACTTTTAATAAAATGGTAAGTTAAGCGAATAAGATTCATAAAGCGATATAAAATTTGCGCAAATTGACTTCAACCCGATGACATATGGGAACATTGCTTACACACAATTTGTTTATAGAAAATGATGTATTGTATACAGTCTTAATAATAAGTACGTGCTTTTAAACTTTTGTGTTATGTAGGCCATAGTTTGACCATTTCCTTTTCGTTTAATTAGTTTAAATATTAGTACATATTTTTTTTATGTTTTAACTGTTTTAGTTACTACATGATTTCAGGTGTATTTTTATTCTGTACAATTAATGGAACTTAATTTGTAGGTCATTTAATATACAGAAATTGTTTTGCTCAGACTTTATTTTGCGTAAGGTTAAAAATGTTTCAAAATGTTTTATTGTAAAGAAGCAAATAGTGTTCACCTGTGTAGGAATCTGATTAATGTATATACCTGGTATCATAAGGATAACTGATTTCCGTTTTTTGAAACATACAGCACATGGCACTTCCTTGTTGTCATTACTCACTGACCATCCTGATGGCTTCATCGATGAATTAAGTTGATATTCACCTCCATAAACCTGGTCATTGCTATATGGTTGGTGTTGTCCATTTTCGGGATCATTTGGGAGACATAAATAGTTTACACCACCGCCTTTATTTTGGTGTTCATTCCCACCGACTTGTCCTGAAACACCAACAAACTTTTATACTGGTATCTAATGTTAAAAGTACTCAATATCAGTAAAGAATTATTCAATTTAATCTATATCATAATTCAGTATGTTTCATGACAAGTATCCATTAATAAACGAAGAAAATAGTTTCGTTTCAAATAATCTAATTATACATTAATTAGCTTATTAGAATATGCAGAACCATATAAATAAAATTTGAGCTTGTACAAGGAATATTTGCTCATACCTTTATATACTAATTCAACTCCTGTTGGACAAGTTGTGTTTCCCCAACGTACATAAGTCACTCCTTCGAAAAAAAAAATGATAACGACCATATGAAAAACACAATACGTGATGTTATTTAAACTTTGTAAAAAATATCCGACACTATTTCCTTTTAGGTATCATGCAATGCTGTTTCTTTAGTATACCAACGTTATTATAAATTACGAGTCGTACCTTCTCTAATGTTTTGTTTGATGATATACTAGTAACTATTTCTAACACGACATACTCTTTAAAGATTGTATAAAGATCACTGAAAGTAAATTATTTCCTTAATTACAAACATGGTGAATTAACAAGGATTATTTTTAGAAAATCAACATGTTTGTTCTCTCATTTTACATTGACCATTGCTTTTTAATCTTTGTTTACCTTTAATCGATTACAAATTCGATTTAATAACACCGCAACAAACTTTAAATTTGGCACAAAATATAAAAACCTGTATTGGATGTTTTGCCTGGCTGGGGACAATCATCTCGTCTTGACGTATGCAAGTAATGTTTCATCATATCTATCAGAGACTGGTCTGATGCCGAAAGGACAAAGTCTTTACATTCATGATTTTCAACAACCAGTATAACAGTTGCTAGGACAAACGTCAAACATGACAAAAACATATTCATTCTACAAATTAAATCAAATACAAATAATTACTACGACCCTTATAATCTAAATCCCTTTGATACTTCTTGTTTTGTTCTTTTTTCTAAAATAAATAATTATGTTCAATTGTAATTATTGCCTTATATTGTCTATGTTTAACTTCCATCACGAGATCGAAGGTGAGTTTTGATAAAGAGAAGCCTTAAATATGGTTTCAATTTAACTAATTTTCAAACTTTAGTAAAATATTATTGTATTACTTACCTTTTCCTCTTTTTTTTTCGTTTTAAAAAATGAAAATGAGTGCTGTATATAACAGTAAATTACATTGCTATTAAATGTCGTTTTTCTTCAGGCAAAGAATAATGAGAAATTTGCGTGACTAACTATCGACTTTCCTGCACTAAATTGTATACCTATTTCAAAACATTTTCCGAACATTAAAAAGCAGCCTCTGATTATATTTCAGTATAGGTAACTATTGGGTTTATCCAATGAGACAATAAAAGGATGGTAGTATAAGTAGAGATAATGCAATGAATATTTTCAGCAGAAAACCTTACAATCTTATGTACGCATTTAAGGTTTTACTCTGCAATATCTTAAAGTGTTCAGTGATCTGTTTATCATCTTCACAAGCCAAGGGTACGATCTGGCACGTGGTGATGATTGACATTGGAGTAGTGGCATCTGGCTGCGTCCAATCAAAAATTGCCTTAATTGTGATAATGTATACATGTAGAAATTGTAAATAAACAGTTACCACGTGCAGATTGTGCCTCGATTCATTACCCCCAAAACATATGACATTATATAGTGACACTTTGAAATTTCCCAATCAACTAATTGAAGTTCTTGCTTATGTTCGGAATGGCAACGTATATACATATGCAGTTTATGCTTTACGAACTTTGTAAAAAGTGATGACATCCATTTTTTCACATTCGAACTAAAGATAGTACAAGTGTCACGTGTCATTTGTCACGAATGATGTAGTCGTAGTGGGCTTGACTTCTATATGTCGCTCGATGGTACAACTATGAAGGTGTAATACCACCATTGATTTTTCCCAATAAGTCTTTGTTAAATTTGCACTTTTCAAATAAAGAAATACTTGGCATGAGTAAAGTTTTATCCTGTTTAGTACTATAGACAAAATTTCACATAACATTTCATTGCATATAAGACAAAAAACATCACTGGAAGTTAACCAATCAAATTTACACCCCTTTTTCCCTGTGTACAAGTTTTAATAACCATGTAACCTCAAGTTTCCAAAATATTCTATAGAAACACCAAATAAAAAAAAATGGTGCTTTGAAACACCCAATATATATGTTTATGATTCAGAAATGTTTTACTGCAATGAAATGTAGGATTAAAGTCAAGGGAATATTTCTTTTCGACTCTTTTTCGTATGCAACCGGATGTGACGTACTATGACTTGGTGGTATTACACCTGAATACACAAATTTTGTCTTAATCTGCAGTGGGGGTAGAGGAGAGAATCGAATTGTAAACCTAAGATAGCGAAGATGTCTGTTCGGTGATTGGAAAAAAGAATAATACTAATAGTGCGGTATCAAAATAGAAACAAAAAGTATTTTAAATTTCATTGTAATGTCCCATGTTAAACATGGCTAAGAATGGTCGGAACTTAAAAAAAAAATAAATGACTTCCTTATTTTCTATTCTGTCGTAAGGATTTCGTACGGTAAATTAAATACGAATGTTTTATTTTTCATTCTAAATATTCATCATGCTATCACGGTGTAAATTATTAATACTCAAATCGTGCTTATTACCTCTCAATCGTTATATCAAACACTTACATAAATAATGCTAATCGACACAATCATTTTCATCAAAGGCAAATACTGTATACTTAGTATGTACTTTTTTTTTCGCGAATTCGGTATTGCCGACAAATTCGCGTGTATTTAATTTCGAGGCATTACCGAAAATATCAAACATAAATAACGGACTTGAAATATTTAAATATTCATTAATAAAGCCTAAATTTGTTTAACAATAGGAAACAATATAAAAATAATTAACAAAGAATATTCCATCATGAAATCAGTCATATGTTCGATAGATGTCAATATCCGATCAAGTTCTTAGTTATACGACAAATCTGTCATATTTTTTGGCTTGGATTATTATTTGTTACCTTTTGCCCTTTTATTCTTAATTGAATTTCTGTGTTTTAAGTGGTGTTGTTTGAACAATTTCACAGTTCAATTGAGGTTTTGTAACTAAGGTAAACAAGGCCTAGGTGAACATGCACGTACAGTTATATTTAACCAATGATTTTGTATATGCATTTACTTTGTATTTATTTTTGCGAAATTCGTAAAAATAAATACACTGTGAAAACAAGTACATATACAATCGTCAAATAACAAGACTTAGTACTTTTGTTGGTCGAATCAAACATCTTTAAATTCGACATCAATATTTCTTTTGAAAAAAATCACTCTTATATTAAGATATTAAAAGAGAGGCGAAAGATACTCATAACTCATCGTCTAAAATTCAACCAACAACGCCATGTCAAAAAAGGAAAGGACCAAACGACAAACAACAGTATACAAAACACAACATACGAAAACTAAAGACTGAGCAGCACAAACCCCACACAAACCGAGGGTGATCTCAGGTGCTCCGAAGGGGCAGGCAGATACTGCTCCACATGTGATACCCGTAGTGTTGCTCAGGAAAGAACATATCCGATAATAAGTCTATTCTATAGGTCACATTCGGGGAAAAGAGGACGTGATATAATTTTACTAATCAGTTTCTGCATACTTACCGTTTAGGAACAATAACTACTGTGTTGTGTTGTCTAACAAGTACCTAAATGTCGAATGACTGCACGCGAAGTATAAATTGCCGAAAAGATTACAAAATAGCTTATTTTCCTTTTAAGATTGAACCTGTTCGAACAAAAAAGCATGTTTAAAAAATCATTTTTTTGGGGGTGGATAAAAATGATATATCTTGATTAAAAATGCCGAGTAAATAAATTATATACTAAATTACATATTGATAAGGAAAATTCGAGAATCAACATCACTCGAAGACCTGAATATGTGAGTCTAGTGAAACTATTAATTTATCAACTTTAAATTATCTTTGACACATTCTTAAAGTGAAACTTTGGAGTAGTATTTAATTTATTCAGGAAAGTTTACTTCGAAATAAAAAAAATGCACGCCTTTTAAGTGGTCATTTAATATCCCGAAAGGCTATGAAAGGACTGTCTAAATAATTTGGATCTTGAAAAAAAATGCATCTAATAAGATTTATAAGATGAATATTTTTATTCTGCCGTCTTCAAATTATGATACATTCTTTTCTGCAGAATTATACATTTTTATTTATTTTTTTTAAGAATTAAACATCGAACAGCCAAACAGACACCCCATGTTGACAAAGAAATGACTGCCGGTCGGCAGAACACCAAAGTGACCATACGTGTATACCTATGTCACCCTTGGAGTTTAAAACTCTCACGATGGGAGAATAATAATCATCACTTTTTTTACAATTCAATTCATAACCGTCAATGTCTAGCTATTAGTTAGAATTGAAGAAGACCTAACTGAACATGTATCTGTGATGTATTTCATTTTAGACTCAGTGTGATATACACTCACAAAAAGTAACCTATCTTTGAATTATTCAATAAAATGATATCTTTCACACAATCAGTGAATCACTGAGAGATAACGCTATATGGTAAGGCACAGTAGACATAAGAAAAATAGCGGCTTTTATATAGCATAATCACATATATTTATTTTTCACATTATACAAGAACATCTGCGTCATTGGTATACGGAAGTCATCCTTATCTACCATATTTGATGCGTAAAGGATAAAACAAAGTTACATTTTTCCTCTCAACTCATCTAACCAATACATTCTGAGTTCCAATCTTTATAGCAAGCTTGTCTGCCTACAACATGTAAGTTTTTTTATTGATTAATATTCTGCTAGCTCATTTTTTGTTACCTCACAAAAATATTTTGAACAATATTAATTCACTCTCAAATTTAGCTCAATAAACCCGTATTTTCCCTATGACATTCCTATCCGTATTAACTTATCGTTCAACCTAAAAATAAACTTAATTGTGTGATATTGACTAACATTAAAACCATTTAAATTCTTTACAGAAACAGAAAAACTGAATTTGAAAGAGTTATAGGCAAACCTGTAAGAGTTGTTACGTGTATATGTATATGTCAGTTGAATACAAACTTGTTGAACATAATTACTGCAATGAATGTAAACCCTACATTTTGACATGAGTGGACAAAAATTGATTTTACATTACAAATATAGTAAGGAAAACATATTTCTGTTCTGCTGCTTCTGGCAGTCTTTTCGATTTTGAATGACTATATCAGTGCATATTAAAATGCTAAACATGTGTTTCAAGAAAGTTGGTAAGGAATCATTTTTAAGATAAAAAGAAGACAAATTTCATGAAATGGTTGATTTTGTGATAACAGAACCCAACAACATTTTCAACATATGAGCATTCTTTTTGAATGATGTTCATCATTGACTGTATTGTTCCTAAAATTATATGATACAGGGATATTATAACTTATTTTCTATTTTCTTATTTCAGGAACAAATGTCAAACCCTCAGACTACTCATTTGATCACATTTCAAATTCATTCAATCATTATATAAAATGTATGTCTATAAAATGAAGGATACGCAGAACAATATTAACAAGATCCTTCTTTATGTGCAGAAATGAGAAGTATGTATGAAAACAAATATGTCTGATGAATAAACGATAGTTATAAACGTAGTGTTTAAGAAATTATAGAAGAGACTATCTCATATAGATTGTACAACATATTACAAAATGTTTATGTGTCACCATCTGTTATTAATGTCTTGGATTCGGAACAAACAACCGTTTGTACAGACCTGTAAGATAAGGAATTTATTTGTAATTTTGGTGGCAATGTATTATGCAACTCTTCAACCTATTCAGCAAAGTATTGATCATTCATAATCATGCATTCGCAGACCAGGACGATTTTGACTTCCAATTGTTACAAGGTTACGTAAATATGATATGAATCATAAGTTTTCTCCTCATATTAAAATTTGATTTTAAATTTTGGGGAGATACTGACTAAACTGTTTGAAAAAAAGGAGATGTGGCTATAGTATTAATGGTGTATAAATGGTTTACTTTGTATGTAACACATATATTTTGCCTAGTGTACTTCTGTTGAACGTTTATACAAGTGTAATGTAATCTTATTTGTCTTTATTTTTTATTGCAAATAAGATAAGGG